CCAATGAAGTCCCATCTGCACTTGCCCCACAGTTGAGGAAACTCAGCAAGCAGTCTGCCTAGGGTTTTATATCCCAGGAGCCACATGACACACTGGGCTAAAATATTGGAGAACATTCTTTTTCTAGGGGAAATTGGAACAGGGCCCAGGCTGTTCCAGCCAGTTCCCCCTTATCTCAGGATGTTGCAATACCAGCACATTCTACAGTTATTATTGAGAGCTACAAGTGAGAAAGGAGGGGGAGAACTTGGTCAGTTCAAGACCACCCAGAGAACTGTCGTGCAGGTTTAATGTAAGAAAATTAATTAGTGTAAAATATCACATTAGTAGAAGGAAGAGATAAAAACATGATTATCCCAGGTGGTGAAGAAAATCAAATGCCCTTTCATGATTAATAAAAAAAAAAGCGGCCAGGTGCAGTGGCTCAAGTCTTTATTCCCAGCACTTTGGGAGGCCGAGGCGAGAGGATTGCCTGAGTCCAGGGGTTCCAGACCAGCCTGGGCAACTTGGTGAGACCTCATCTCTACAATATATCAAAAAATTAGTTGGGCGTGGTACTGTGTGCCTGTACTTCCAGCTACTTGGAAGGCTGACTTGGAGGGATCGCCTGAGCCCAGCAGGTCGATGCTGGGGTGGCCGTGAGCATCCAGCCTGGCTGACAGAGTAAGACACCAACTCAAAAAAAAAAAGCCGGGCTCGGTGGTTCAGCCTGTAATCCCGTGCCTTTGGGAGGCTGAGGTGAATGGATTGCCTGAGCCTGCGGGTTCAAGACCCACCTGGGCAACTTGGCAAGACCTCATCTCTACAATAAATCAAAAATTAGCCGGGCATTGTAGCGCGCACCTGTAGTTCCAGCTACTTGGAAGGCCGAGGCGGAAGGATCGCTGGAGCCCAGCAGGTCAAGGCTGCTGTGGCTGGGAGTGGCCACTGCACTCCAGTCTGGTCAACCAACTCAAAAGATTCCAACTCAAAAAAAAAAAGCACTCAGGACACTAGGAATAGGAAGGAACTTCCTTAACATGTTAAAGGACATCAGTGAAAATTCCATAGCAAACATCATACTCAATGGTAAAAGACTGAAAACTTTCTGACTGATCCTAAGGTTAGGAACAAAGATGCCCCTTTTCACCGCTGCTACTCAAAATAGTACTAGCTGTTCTAATCAGAGCAATTAGATAAGAAACAGAAACCTAAACAGAAAGGAAGAAGGAAAACGATTTCTATCCACAGATGACATCCTATATATAGTAAATCTCAAAGAGTCTATAAGAAAGCTACTACAGCTAATAATATCAGCAAAGTTACAGAACACAATGTCAACACCCCAAAATTAACACCAGTAGTGTACAATCAGGAAAGGAAATTAAGAGAGATACTTCACTTACAAATATATGGGAAATAACATAATACCTAGGAATAAATTTTTTTTTCTTTTTTGAGTTGGAATCTCACTCTGTTGCCTAGGCTGGAGTGCAGTGGCACACTCCCGGCTACCCTAGTGTCAACCTGCTTGGCTCTGGCGATTCTTCTGCCTCAGCCTTCCAAGTAGCTGGAACTATAGGTAAGCGCCAGCACGCCTAATTTTTTGAGTTTATTGTAGAGATAAGGTCTCACCAAGTTGTCCAGGCTGGTCTCGAACCTGTGGGCTCAGGCAGTCTTCTCACCTTGGCCTCCCAAAGTGCTGGGGTGAATAAATTTAACCAAGGAGTGAAAGACATGTACACTAAAAACCACAAAATGTTTCTGAAAGAAATGAAAGATGTCCTAAATAAACAGACATTCTGTGTTCATGGGCTGGAAGACAGTATTGTTAAGATGTCAATACTACCCAATGTGGCCTATAGATTCAATGCAATCCCTACAAAAATTCCAAAAGCCTTTTTTGCAGAAAGGGAAAAAAACAAATCCTTAAATTCATATGGAATTGCAAGAGGCCCTGAGTATCCAAAACAATCTTGAAAAAGAAAAATAAAGTTGAACATCTCACACTTACCGACTTCAAAACTTACTATAAAGCTACAGTAATCAAAATAATACGGTAATAACATAAGACATATAGACCAATGGAATAAAATTGAGAGTTCAGAAATAAACCCAGTGCTCTCTTCAGCAGTACAAATACAAAAATCGGAACAATACAGAAATACACCTAACAACTATGGTCAGCTGATTTTCAAAAAGGGTGCCAAGTCCATTCAATGTGGGAAGAATAGTCTTTCCAACAAATGGTGCCAAGACAACTGGAATTTTATGTGTGAAAGAATGAAGTTGGGCCAGGCATGGTGGCTCACACCTGTAATCCCAGTACTTTGTGAGGCTGAGGCAGGAGAATCACTTGAGGCCAGGAGGTTGAGAACAGCTTGGGCAACATAGCAAGACGCTAACTCTAAAACAATAAATAAACAAAACAAAACTTAGCTGGGAGTAGTGGCATACACCTGTGGTCCCAGCTACCCCAGGAGGCTGAGGCAGGAGGATCCTTTGAGCCGGGGGTAAAGCCTGAGTGAACTGTGATCACACCACTGCACTCCAGCCTGGGCAAAAGATCAAGACACTATCTCAAAAAAAGAAAGCTGGTACCAAAGTATTGGCTTCTATGCATGTTGAGTAGTGGGTCTACTGCTCAGTAACACAGGTCCTCAAACAAATATTTATGAGCCAATGTTCATTGCAACATTATTCAAACAGCAAAAAAGTAAAAACAACCCAAGTGTCCATCAATAGATAAAGGTGTGGTGGTTCATGCCTGCAGACCCAGCACTTGGGGAAGCTGAGGTGGGAGGATTGCTTGAGCCCAAGGGTTTGATATCAGCCTGGGCAACACAGTGAGACCTTGTCTCTACAAAAAATAAAACTTAGCAGGGTGCATGCCTGTCTGTAGTCCCAGCTACTCGGGAGGCTGAGGCAGAAGGATAGCCTGAGCTCAGAATGTTGAGGCTGCAGTAAGCTGTGACTGTGCCACACTGCACTCTAGCCTGGGGGACAGAGGCCCCAACTCAAAAAGAAACAAACAAATGAATGAGTAAACAAAATGCAGAATATATAGACAATGAAATATTATTCAGCCATATAAAGGAATGAAGTTCTGATCTATGCAACAACATGGATACACCTTGACAACATTATGTTATGTGAAACAAGCCAGACACAAAAGGACAAATACAGTATGATTCCATTTATGTGAAGTAACTAGTAAGATTCAGTATAATAGAGGTTACCAAGGGAAAGGGGGAAAGAGCAGGGGAAATGGGAACTTACTGTTTAATGATTATTATAGAGTTCTGTTTGGGGTGATGAAAAAGTTTTGGAAATTGGTGTTGATGGTTGCAAAATATCGTGAATGTAATTAATACATATTACTCTAAATCTGTATCTTTCTCACCAGTGGGTGGCATAGCCTTGGTCTGAATAACTGACCCAGATTCAGATATTTGTACCTTCTATGGAACTATCATGCTAGTCAGATTGTTGCACCTTGTTACTCCAATATTTGCTGCTGGGCCACTTGACATAGTTCTTGTCTTTTTTGGGGGGGGCGGGTGGAGTCTCACTCTGTCTCCTAGGCTGGAGAGCAGTGGCATGCTCCCTGGCTACCGCAGCCTCAACTGCTGAGCTCAGGCGATCCTTCCTCCTCTTCCAAGTAGTTGGAACTACAGACATATGCCACCATGTCCGGCTAATTTTTTTATTTATTGTAGAGGTGAGGACTTGCCAAGTTGCCCAGGCTGGTCTTGAACCGGCAGGTTCAGGCAATCCTCTTACCTTGGCCTCTCAAAGTGCTGGGATTGTAGGCATAAGCCACTGCACTCAGCCAAAGCGGTTTTTTTTTCTTTGAGTCTCACTCTGTCGCCCAAACTAGAGTGCCGTAGCACACCCCCGGCCACCTCAGCCTCAACCTGCTGGGCTCCAGCAATCCTTCCGCCTCTGCCTTCCAAGCAGCCGAACTACAGGTGCGCTCTACCACGCCTGGCTAATTTTTTTTTTTTTTTTTTTTTTTTTTGTAGAGACGAGGTCTCACCAAGTTGCCCGGGTGGGTCTTGAACCCATGGACTCAGGCAATCCACTCGCCTTGGTCCCCCAAAGTGCTGGGATTACAGGCTGAGCCACCCAACCCGGCCTAGTTCTTGTCTTTAAGAAGTTCATTATCTTGCTGGGAAAATATAGCCAGAACATTTGAGACAGTCTGGAACAGCGTTTCCCTAATGTCAGACATTTGGATGTCACCTTCTCAAATTAATATCTAGTTGGTAACTTCTTTAAATAGAACTATTTATCACAAAAGAAAACTCTTTACCATTATTGAAAATAGGAAAACCCGTATTACTTGCCATAAATATCAAAGTTAAACTAGCAATTGAAAGTCTAGCTTTATATTATTCCCCACCGAAAGCTTTGAGCCTAAGATCTGACCTGTCAAAAAAGAGAAAGAAGAAAAAGAGATAAGTTAATTAAATGCATGATATGAGGCTTTCTCCTGTCTGTAAAGATGAGAGAAGAACTGCCAGGGACTAACTTTCTCAATATGTGAATGAATATAATTTACCATATTTCATAAATTCTGAAATACAGCTTTCCCGCCCCAAATTTTAACATTCTGAACTCTTACAATCAACAGGATGTGACGACGGGTTTTAAGTTTCTTGTTAGGTGGCTCTGGAGTCAGGATAACCCAGGCGGGATCCTAGCACGGCCTCTTGCCATCTGTAGACGGGATAAGAACACCTATCTAACCTGTCGTTATACAATAGTGAAGCGCTTGTCGCAAAACGAGCGCTCAATAACGTACATGTTATTCAGATTGTTTATTCTTGTGCGGTGATAGATTTCACATCGACCCGACTATCTCTTGACGGGTTCCTACCAGGCGCTGGAGGCACCCTATTTTTAAGATATTACGAAGAGCGCTGAAGCCGCGGGAAGTCCACTGAGTCAATCACATCTCCAGGACTGCAAGGTGGGGAGCTCAGGACTGCTATGGCGCCCGGCGCAGCCATGTGACGTCACATCCACGCCCACAATGGGAGGGTAGGGCCTCACCGGCAAGGCAGGGTTACGTGCTGACGCTACACGCCGGGGCGGGGCCGAGAGTTTGGAGCCCCGGAGTGGGGTGTCGGCGCCTCATTCGGGTGGAGCTGAGCCGGAGACAGGTAACTGCTCGCTGCCGCCGAGCCCAGCCCAGTGCTGGGAGGCGCGGCGCTTGCTGGTCCGGGGTCGGAGGTCGCGGCAGAGGGGCGAGGCCGCCGCTCCCTTGGCGCCGCGGTGCTGCGGTGACAGGGAGTGGAGCTGGACAGAGCGGGGCTGACGGAGGGTGGTGGGAGGGACTGGACTTGACGGACGGGCGTGGCAGCCAATGGTGTGGCGGAGCCCGCCCGGCGGGCGGAGATTGGCGGGTACGGGCGCGCGCCGAGGTCGCGCGGGGCGCGGAGCAGCGTCCCATTGGCTGTGAGCAAGCGGAGGCGGGCGCGGCGGCGGATGTGAGGGAGAGGGCGGTGCGGCGGCCAGGGTGACCCCAAGGTCGGGGCGGGCGTCACGTGGGTAGGGCGTCCTCTGACCGCGTCCTACTCGCCCCGGCGGCTCCGTCCTTCCTATTTGAGGGGTCCGCGTCGCTTTGTCCAGAAGACGCTGGCCTGCTCCAGTCGCGTTTTCCCGCCCTGTCGGAGCGTCCGGCGCTGGAGGTGACTGGGCGTGGGACCGCCGGTGCTAACCTTGGCGCCGGTTCCTCATCTGCTGCCCAAAGTTGGGTCATACAGCCTGACCGAGATGAAGCTCCGTAGAAACTGCTTTCAGGCACCGTTTTCCCGTCCGAAAATGTGCCTGGCGTAGATTTGAGTTGTTACCTGATGAAAATTTGATAGAAAAGTTGTCTGTGTCCTCTCTCTGATCCCATGCGCCCGCCGTTTCTACCCCTTTGCCTGGAACCTAGAGCAGAGGGGACTGACTCCGTGTTGGGGTTTCCTTGTGCCTTGTCTTGAGTTAGTACTTTGAGGCTGATTTCCAGGTACCCTGCTCTGAACAGCTGGCTGTAGGATGGGTGGCCTGGGATGAAACCTTTTTCTTGCCCGGCAGCACTAGGTGCAACACAGTCGAACCGTACTTTCTTGGGTAGACCGGCCTCGTAGGAAAATATGTAACACTATTGTAGCTTCGTAAATGAACTGAGGACTGGATCTTGGAAAATTGGATAAAGGTCAGTGTATCCTTATTTTTTAAGAGCACTTTTAACATCTTGGTTACTTTTTACCCTTAAATAACAGCTTTGTCGAGATATAATTCACGTACCATACAATTTGCCCGTTTAAAGTACATAATTCAGTAGTTTGTAGTATATTGATAGAGAACCATTGCCATTATTCAGTTACTTTTATTTATTTTTTGTTTTGTTGTTTTATTTTGAGTCCGAGTCTCACTTTTGTCCAGGCTGGAGTGCAGTGGCATGCTCACGGCCCCTGCAGCCTCGACCTAACTGGGCTCTGGTGATCCTCCTACCTCAGCTTTCCAAGTAACTGGAACTACAGGCATGTGCCACCACGACCGGCTAATATATATATTTTAAAATTTATTGTAGAAATGAGGTCTCACCATGTTTTCCAGGTTGTTCTTGAACCTGTGTGCTCAGGCAGTCCTCTCACCTCTGCCTCCCAAAGTGCTGGGATTAGTGGCGTGAGCCACTGTACCCAGCCTACAATTCAGTTACTTTTTTTTTTTTTTTTTT